CCCCAAAACCCCAAAACCCCAAAACCCCAAAACCCCAATCTTTGGGTTTGGTATTGAATCATAAGGGATCTGGATTAAGTTAGGAAATATAATAATTTTTGGAATATGGATTCAGCAAAGACAAGAGCAATGAGCCTGTTGAGGGATGAAGATCAGCTGATGAGAAGGATAAGAGAGCAGAATGGGCAGGATTTAAATTACGTGGACTACTGCCCCGAAGTTGTCTGCTGCTACAACCCTTGGTGCGGAGTAAGCTCATCCTAACAGTGTAGGAGATACTCACTTGGAGCAACAGGGCCTTGGCCAAGCTCAGGTTTTATCACCAGGACTCTGTGTGGCTGCTGGTTGTTTTTGGAGGCACGAGGAGGAGGAGGGAGGTGTGCAAGTGATTGAAGAGGTTTAGGGCGAGGGTAGTCAATACTTTGAACTTTTCAGGGAATAAGATTGGGGATGAAGAGAGAGTTGATAGGATGGTTTTTGGAGCAGTGTGATGGGTTTTGCCGAGATTGACGGTTTCGTTGTATTTAGCGAATATTAGTGTGTCTAGGAAGCAGTTAGAAGTTATTTTAAATAGCATCAGGCATTTGGATTATTTGTGACTGGATACTTGAAAGATTGATACAAAAGAACTTAAAATACGACAAGACAGAACTCCAGATGTTAAAAAGATAGAATTGATAAATTGATTTTCAAATAGAAAAGACTCAGATACAGTTCCATTTTGTCTTGAAGGACTAATTTCTTGAATATCAATATCTTCACTGCAGTTCTCCTTAAAATCAATTTGATTCCAAAAGTTGGTTCCTTCTCATAAAGAACTTTCCAAGGTTTCTAAAAAGTACAGTAACTCTCAAGTCAAAATAATCGTAATTGACGGTTGATCTTTAAAATACAAAAGAGTCAAGAAGAACTCTCATAAATGCAATTTATTTTAAATATATCACCACCATATCAATAATCTCAGACTTCTGTGGGGTTTTGGGGTTTTGGGGTTTTGGGGTTTTGGGG